TGAGGCGAGGCGGGCCTTCATTCAGATCATGTGGGAATAGAAAGTTTAAACCGGTTAGACTCCACAGACGAGCTTTGTTTCTCTGCATCTTTTATTTCATTTTATTTTGTTATTATTTATTTTAAGTTCACAAACTAAAAAGGAGAATAAATCCTCCATACATTAATATCAAACTTTATCATCTCAAAGCTGTTCAGATGTTTTAAGTCTCCATTTACAGTTTTCCCAGATAATGTGAATGCTGCATTTGCTAGCAGCACTTTACAGATGCATTATGGGATGCGGCGGTGTGGCGGCTGCTGCAAGAAGATCAATAAGATCCAATAAGATCTTGATCAAAGCATCGAAGCTCAAAGCTGAAATGTTATCAAGTTTCTTCCAGAGCAATGAGAAATGCTAGCAGCTAACACTAGCTAAGATAGCTAGCATAAGTCAAATGTTTCTGTTAGCGAGGACGGATCAGGAAGTGCAGTTAATGTTCATCTCCTACTGCACATGTGCAGAACAACACTGTTTAAAGAAAAACAAGTTTGAATTATTTGTAAAACTAAACAAACGTTACAAGTGGGAAACTAAAGCAAGGCTGCGTGCTAGCTGGGAGGCTAACATTAGCACGTTAGCTCCTGAACTGAAAAATGTGAGCTAGCTAACAGATATCATTGTATTGTCAGTAAAAGAACTTTGAAACACAAGTACATTTAGCACAAGTGTGCTACACTTAGTTAGCTAGCAACTTAGCTGATGTTAGCATAGCTTAGCCCCACTGTTGATAGACAAACTTGGAGTTAACGTCACAGATCCCACAATTACATCCAAAGTCAAAGCTAACATTACTGCAAAGCTTGTGCAATATATTGTCATATTGTGGTTTTAGCTGGCTAACATTAGCTCGCTTGATAACGCAGACAAATTGCTTTGTAGCTAATGTAGCGATATATTGACCTAAACACCTTAGCTTTGTACTGTTACCGTAAAACTTCTAATAACCGGCATTATTAGGGCCTTTGTTAGGGGCCGGCGTCTATTTGGGACAGGCCTTTAATTCCTAAAACTACTGCTTCTCTTCAGTTTGTTAATTTCAGCTCTTCCTTTTTCTCTGTGCCGACACCATGACACTGAACGGCAGCCGGCGTACAGACAGACAGCAACAGACTGCACATGGTAATAATCACAACTCGGAATAATTTAATATAACACTTTGTTCTGATGGACCCTGACGGACTAAAGGAATATAAATAATGGAGAAACAGACCCTACAGACTTTATGATCTGTACTCTTGTTTACAGCGCTGCTGAGTCTGAATGAACGTTAATCTTTAATGTTCATAGTTTCAGTGAAATGAAGGGTTGAACTGATCCAACGATGTGCAGCATCCATACTGACAGAAGGTTAAACATTATATCTGTGGAAAAGATCTAAACAGCTTAAAGCAGCAACCCGCTGGGTTTGAGAGGTTTTATACAATCCAGACCAGGCCTCTATTGGAAGTTTTAAGGTAATTTACTATTGGCTAAAATCAACACGGCTAAGCTAACGTTACCCAACTAACTTATCCACTCAGATGGTATTTTGCTAGCAATAATGTTAGCAAACAAGCTAAGATTAGCCAGCCAGCTGCAACCCAACCACGATCAATAACGTTATCCAGCGCCGGCCGCCTGCAGCTGGTTTGTCCTCCAGCAGAATCCCATTTATAAAACCATCGTTTTAACAGATAAAAAACAAAAACACATATATATCGGAGACTAAATACGAGGTCAGGACTTCAGACAGACGCCAGAGACAGCGGAGGAGGAACAGGAGGAAGAGGGGGAAGAGGAGGAAGAGGGGGAAGAGGAGGAAGAGGGGGAGGAGGAGGAAGAGGGGGGACAGATTTTGGATGCGAGGGAGGAGGAGTAACGTGAATGAAACGCAACTGCATGAACCCATGTCTGACTGACGGCAGCCTGATGAAGGGGACGATGATGATGATGATGAAGATGAAGATGGGTGAATCCATCAGAGAGCAGCATGAGAGGAAAGAGGAGAAAAAGAGATAAGAGAGATGAAGAACGACATCAGACAAAAAGAGGACAAAGACAAACAGGAAGTTTGGTTTGTTGTAACAAAATAAAACTTGTTTCTGAAGTTCTTTCTAAATGTTTGATAAATTAAAGTCCTGATATTAATATTCCAGTCATACTGATACATTAATTAAAACATCTTTATTGATCTGCCCTTCATCAAGCTCTCAGCCCGTAAAAGCACTGCCAGAAACTTGAACTGACTCCTGAGTTAGCATAGTCCCAATCAACCAAAGTCCATTCAGAAAACAAGCATTTTAAAAGCAGGATGTCGTTATTTCAGCATCTTATTGATCCGTTTATTGACTTTAAATCAGTAAAATGTGTTTATTCTGAGCTCGAGGTGAAAGTCACCATTAGACAGACTGAACTGAGCGCGCTCAGTCCGTCTGCAGCAGGTAACCAGATAAAGAAATGTGTGCGAGCTTGTTACTGACGCCTCGTTAATGTCAGCAACAGAGCTGATGAGTAACCGTGGTAACGATCCTCTGTCTCATCCTCTGTTTTACTTTGACTCTCGGTGACCTCTGACCCCCTGCTCTGTTGCCCACGCCAACCATCCCGCTGTCCGTCAACTCCACTTTTCCACAGTTAATCAATAGACTGCCTCAGAGTGTGTTTTCATTTAGTCATCGATCAGTTATTGACAGAGTGATCAATGAGCCGCACGCACACACACACAGTAGAGAAAACATAAACCATCAGATATTGATCAGCAGCCACATAACATCAACTCACAGACTCATTATTATTATTATTATTATTATTATAATCTGTGTAAATGGTAAATGGACCTGTACTTGTATAGCTCCTTTCTAGTCTTCAAAGCTTTTACACTACGTGCCACATTCACCCTTTCACACACATTCACTCAGTGATAGTAAAGTCCATCAAACAG